GAGACAACCTATGTGCCTTCCAACCACCATGAATGGGTATGCACACAATCTGGGGAGTATATGCCTTGTTACATGGTATGAAGCAAGTCTGAGGAAGATAAAAACCTACAAAGTTCCTCAACATTTTGGCCAAATCTTGAAGACCTCAATGCCATATTACTGGAGGCAAAAGCTAGTGGGATTTTGTCTCTCGCAATGTACTTTGGTGAAGTCCGCACCTAGTTTGCCATCCTGTGACTGAGTTTTCCCGAATCTCTGTAGCCAAAATGTGCTCCTCCTCAGCCACCTTCTTGCTATGTGGTTACMTAAATATCATGTGCTGACCTTGCTGGGTCAATGTGAATCCAATGTGAATCCTATGCAAGTTACTAGCCTTGGAAAGTGAATTTAGGCTTGGGGCTGGCCATGCATCTGCTTTTGCTGATGTATGCAGGCTCTGCTAATTGGACTGTTCCCGTAATAAGTAGTTAGCACAAACCTGCAGGGCTGCTTGGTTCATTTCTTCTCATTTTTAGTCAGTGGATAATGTGTATTTTTGGAAAGATCTTTGTTTTTCCTGCAGGGGAAGTAGAACCCTTCCTGCAATACTCAGTTCTCTTGAAACCTACGTGCCGCAGCCTCACCATGAGCAGTGCAGAATTGTCACTGGAGGAACTAGCAAAACAGGAAGGCAGCTTGTGCAGGTGAAAACAATCTCATTTAAAAGATGCTTGACAATTACCCTCAATTACATTTTAATGCTTTTTGCAAAATACCAAATGAAGCAGTGTCCCAATTCAAGTGGCCCTTCAAGGCAGGATTGAAGTCGCCAACCTTTGAATTCATGCAGAATGATAAAGAAAATCTTAGTTTTGATCAAAACAGGACAAACCTGACCACAGGTGATCAAAGACCTGAGCATTATAGTAGCTAGTGGACTAGAAGCCAACTCTGCCTTTCACTGGTGAACTCAGTGAGATGCTCAGGTATAAGTGAGATGGCACCGAGGGACATGAAGGTTACAAAAGAAGAAAGTCTCAGTCAGAGATGGAAAATTACAGAGTGAATAGGATTTCATTTCTGGACATTCAGTACTGAGGGCCATAAAGAAAGAATCTTTTCCCAGCACTTGCAGCTTATGTGATGTTAAGTTAATCATGGAAGAATGCTCTAGATTAGAAAATGGGAACCAGCCTGGATGCCCATGGAGCTGCAAGTCCTGTGCAATGTCAAGTTCTGTTGTAAACCACAACCCCTCACTGTGTGTTAATGTTCAGTGTGTCCTGATTCACTTGTTGTGTTCCCTCTTGTAAAGAATCACGGATTTCTGTGCTGGTAGGTTTTCCTGTAGGCTTGTATTCTTGAGGAATAAAAGTTCTTTACTTTTATTTCACCAGGAGAATGGAAGGCAATGCTGGGGCAGAAAATTTGGGAGCTACCATGTAGACTCACTGTAGTGTGGATGTAAAACCTAGTTGTCATTCTTGTAAAGCTGAAACACGGACCTTCTCCATAGCAAAATGAGTAGCATAGTAGGAAGGGTCAATGGTCACCAATCAATAACATAAATCAAAATAAGCTACACTACGCTCTTACTTCCTAGCTGGGTATCAAACAAACTGAGGAAGACTATGGGGAGGACAGCTTCCATTTGTGCTAATTAGGCTTTCTGACAGGCTAATGTATCTTCATTCACCAGGAAAGAGATGATTTAGAGTGGGAGTTAAAAGGCAGAACCAGCATTCAAAACGCAGGGAGTGGGTGAGCCTGAGCTTGTGAGAGCACGCGGTGGGCTGGTTTCCAGGCGCTCCCGGCAGGACCGGGATCTGGGCCCTGCTGAGCGGAGGAGCTGGATTTAAAGGACATCTGCAGTGGCGGAGGGAGGCCCATAGTCCTTGCGTCAGAGCCTCGTGCTGAGCGAAACCTGCATCCCAGCGAAATACAGTGTGAAGCTCTTGTGAGGCCAGTGCTCCAGGGAGCTGCCTCTGCTAATCCGCATCAGTGTCTGCGGCAGGGGAAGCGTCGTGAAGCAAACACATAGTGGAAATACTTCAGGGAGAAAGAGAGGGAAACTGGATTTTCTTTTCTGTCTCTTAATTAGATGCTGTCTCATGGATTAATGTTATTGTCGCATTGTTGTAGCTTGTACCATCAGTGCAATTAATGATACGGAGGCTTAATGCCTTACTGGATCACAGAGTCCCAGGAATGGTTGAGGTTGGAAGGGATCGCTAGAGAACATCCAGYSCAGCCCCCTGCTCCAGCAGGGACACCCAGAGCTCGGGGCACCCGGTCMCATCCCGGCGGGTTGGCAGATCTGCAGAGCAGGAGCCTCCGCAGCCTCCCTGGGCAGCCTGGGCCAGGGCTGGGCACCCTCACCCCAAACAAGYTCTTCCTCACGGGCACATGGAGCTGCCTGCGCTGCAACTGGCACCCACTGCCCCKTGKCCTGGCACTGGCCACCMCTGAGAAGAGTTGGGCTTGTTCTCTTTATATTCTCCCCTCAGGAATTTGTACGTGTTGATAACATCCCTTCTCAATCTTCTCTTCTTCAGTCTAAACGGGCCTAGCTTACTTAGCCTTTCCTCAGTTGATAGATACTCTAATCCCTTAGTCATCTTCTTGGATGCTTCAGATAGATCCAGGCTTTGTGAATGACTCTCCATATGATGRTCATTCACTGGTTTGGGATGAGTTAACGTCAATCAAGTTCACTCTGTGGCTGATAACTCCTCGTTCTGTGCAGAGAAAATGACTGCATGGATGTGGAGACCAAGCAGAGCTCCTACCATGACAGTCCTCTGCCATCAGGCAGTGACCGTGTGGCCAGTGTGCCCATCCTCTGTCCAAGGAGGTGTGTGGGCGTCCCATCAGGAYTGAATCATAGAATCATAGAATCATAGTGGTTGGGAAAGACCTTCAAGATCGTCAAGTGTCTTCTTGGGTTTGTTTCATGGTTCTCCTTTGTACTTCCATAAGGAGACAAACTGTGAATTCAGCACACCCAGCAAGTCTACTGGAAACTTAGAGGCTTTTTAGGAGATGAGATACCTGTGGGATTTGYAAGACTTGCTTTTCTGAAGCCTGATGGAATAACTGTTTCAAATGCAATTCTCCTCATTACTCTTCTGCYTCTTTGGGAACACATCCTCTTTTTTCACTGTTTTTGGTTCGTAGATTGAGTAAAGGGACAGTGACCAAAGGGAACTTTGGGGCTCAGGAAGGTTTGTGTGTGTGTCATAAAATGACATCTTTGTCTCTAGTGCCGCTGCGGAGGCCACCTTTCCCCTGCTACAGCATTCCTGCCCGACAACATGTGCAACCTGACATCCGAGCTGCAGTTCTCTAAGTTAGCAGCAGAYCCAGAAGTCCACAGGAAATATAAAAATAAATATTAATTAAATATTTCATTCCTTCATCTGTATTGAGGATCATATAGGGCACTGAAATCCAGTGTTACATGGAAGGCCAGGRTGAGGCTCATATACCATTGCTGTCCTCCCTTTGCCCAAGAGATTAGCGGTGTCTAACATGCTAAGTGTTGTACAGGTCCTGCTTCTAATCGTAAGAAAACAACATAGGAAAAGTGAATATTGTGGGAGGAGAAAAGATGGACAGGCTACATCCAAATTCTTATGGACACGACTCCTGCTACCACTTTACTGGAAAGTTYATAAAGACATAACAGTTCTCCAGCGTGGATCCAAGTCAGAATCCTCCCAAATTGTGTATTTAACTGTAAACATGAACTACTACGGCAAAAATAACAAGGATTATGTATTGGGAACTGAACAGAAATTGAGGTCAAAGAAGGTTTTAAATGTTATTTTAAAATAATACGGTATCAAGGTCATAGTTTTCCGGTGAGGAAAACTTGTACTTTCTCATTGAAAATTCAAATGATAGTTTATAGACACAGGGTCATGAATTTTGATATTTTAAAGGACCATTAAGTAAACTTGGTCTAGCCTCTGTATTAATACCCCTTCCTCAAGGTCCTTGCCTCRTATTTCTTCATTAGGCCAGTAGTTGCTGTGTGCTTGTGTGCCATTCTTAGGTACTGAGCTGAAGTCAAACTTCTCGTGGTGAATAGTGAAGCCGATAAAGAGCTTTGTTTTAAACCTCAGTCTTCATCATTTCAGTAGTCTCATTGCATCCACCAGACAGTCTAGCTTCCTTTGATCCATACCATGAATTGCTACAGATTTGTTTTATACCCCGTTCTGAGGACTAAGATGGAGCAGTTTAACCAGAAAATTAGACATCTATATATGTTTTAAATAAGAGTAGCGTTGTCATTTGCAAAATGCATGAGCATCAAATCTTTTCTAAAAAGCATTCTAATTTTTTAACAAGAAAACTCCTGTTTCTCTTCCCCTCTAAATGTACCTGGAAAGTAAAGCCCAGAGAAAGTTCAGTTGTGTAGGGTTGTTCTACAGGCTCCACAGACAGGATGAAACCTCCAGTGTTTTGCTTTTATCCTAAGAACAGAATTTAAGGGATTTTTTGTTAAACTCTCCACGTACACTGAGATACCCAGAGGATGGGGATGTTATTCCCTAAATGCTCACTGTTTTTCCTTGCTCAGTTGCAGCTGCCATGTGCTGACTGCTGGGAAAAGTGGCTAGTCCTTGGTGGTGCCTGCACGGGACATGAACTCTCCTGCAAACAGAGCCACGTACAACCTCAATAAGCGGCAAGCGACTCAAATGCATTCTAGTCACTTTAGTCCATTTCGTTCAGATTAACTAAAGGAAAACTGCTGAGTGCTCTCCCCTTTGAACATCTTATAATTCACATTTGAATTCCTAAAGGGATGGCCAAGGTGGACATGGGCAGTTCTGTCATCATCAATGATGTCTGTGCTTTTCTTGGTATAATTCCCTGCCTTTAGGTCAGACAGCRTAGGGTTAAGTTAGGCAGATCACAGGTGACAACTTTAAGCACATTTCCCTTGATACATAAGATATGTTTGCRTGTCTAGGGCTTACTTATAACCTTTGTTCTTATTTCTCCTTCAGGTATTTTGAGTTTTATGAGGGGCCGTTGGAATACAACTCCACAAAATGTCTGGAATTACGGCAGGATATCATTGCAGTGAAGGTTTTGTCCATGTAAGTATGAATGAATGCTTGCCACYTCTCTGGTAGAATAAAACGATCACTTACAAGGTTATCAAAGATGCAAGGCTAAAGAAATCCCATGGAAAGGGATTTTGTCTCATCAGAGATGTCTGAGGTTCTGTTCTGTGTGCTAGTAGTGACATGTCAGTATGATCTGAGGTCCGTTGGAAATTGTTGGAAGCTTTTCACACAAATTAAGAAATTTCCATCAGGCCCAGTGTCAGTAGCTGGAATTAAATACCATGTTTGTAATATTGCCTATAATAGTATATTCCAGGCCCTCTAGTGAGGGTAATATGATGGTAACACAACAGCTAGACTGGCTTACAGTAAATGCCCATCTAGCCTAATACTCTATCATTGACAGTGGCCAATAGTGAAGGCTAAGAAATTAAGCAAAATGAGGTTGAATCCTKATAAAATACAAGTACTGGCATGGGGACTGAGATATAGGTGGAGTCGATACCACTGCAGTCAGAAATGTACCTATTTTTTATGACTTTGTTTAGGTCTTTTCTGAGACCAATTACACTTTTGATGTCCACAATCTCCTGTGACAATAAGTTGCAGAAGTTAACAACACATTCGGTGCCAAAGGAGGCAACTGTGATTCTCACAAATAATACAATATCCTAATTTTATCTTCTTTGGTCTTATAAGCATATTAGGAAAAAAAAAAAAAAAGAAAAAAGCTTTACCTGAGACATAACTGTAAAACCGTAGAGATGCAATGRAACAGATAAAAAAGATTGCCCATAGAGTTCAGGCATTCAAGGGTTTAAATAGAAAAAGCAGGATATTTTCATGTTATCCTTTTACATTTTTCTGAATTTAGGTGCTCAGAGTGTGCTTAATCCCTTACTATGTCTTAAACCAGCAGCTTTCGTATTTAGTATTCTTGCCTACAATCCACAAGACTTACTAATGCCTGTAAAGTGCTTTGAGAATCTCAGCTGAAAGGTGCTATACGAGTGTGTCAATCTTAATGAAAAGAGCAATCAAGGCAAATGCAATTTTTTGCTCCAGGTCTACATGAATTCTGAATATATCTCCCTCACTGACTTTGTGCCCAGAAAAATGTAGGTTACGTCCTTGTCTTCTGTTTATGGGACTGGCTGAAGGATACACAAGCAACGACTTCACACTGCTTGCTGACTTGCATTGCTTAAAAATAAATGGAAAGGGTGAGAATTTGACACTTCTGCCAATGTTCTGCTGAAGACAGTGAGTTTGGCATTGCATTTCTGCATACTTATCAGATGGTAGAGAGGATTATTCATCTCTCTTCATCGTATCCAATGGCACATAGATGTTTGTGGACTCCCACTCAATTGGATAGAATCAGCCTTACTTGTGCAGTTGACACCATTTGACAGTGAACTCTTTTTACTACGCTGGATTCTTCTAATGTGCTTGCAAAATATCTACATTTTCCAAATCAGCCCTTCCAGTAATGGAAGTTTTGTGAGATAACATGCTCCCGTGAGCCACAGAGAGTACAATATGACCTAATTCCTTCCTGTGACTTCCACAGCCTGGGAAATCCTAAAGTATATTCACCTAAAATATGTAATTATCTMAAAAATCTTTGCTTTATTTAGACATTCAAACCCTCCAACCTGAAAAGAACATGTTAAGATCTGTCAGTCTTTTAAGGAATCTCAAATCATTACTCTGTAGCTCCAGATGTTTGCAAGGCTGTAGTTATTTCTATTGTCCGAATGTGGAAGAATATGTAAGAACTCTAAAGTAGAGGCAGTTTCTTTAGCTTGCTCCACTTCTTTTGTCCAGGAGATTTAAGACACTGACCTTTACTTGCCAAATCTATAGACATATTTTTTTCTGGGTCATATTTCCATGAAATTACTAACTATTAAAGAACTTTTCATTACCTTAAGTATATTTTCCTCCACTTGAGGCTCTCCCCAGTCCCTCATCCAGAACTGAAGCCTTCACTTGGCTGTAATGTTAAATCCACGGCCTTACAAGGCAGTTTAATAAAGTGAACACAGGTCTTTGACTGTAATACATCAGAATAGACTRCAAGGAAGAAAATGAAATAAAAAACTAATGGGTTGTAATTTATGATACCAAAAAGAATGTGCCACCGTGTGTCAAGCTAGAGAAAGTGGATGTGACACTGATTTATCTGAAGGCATTTATTGAAGAAAGGAGGAGGGAGAAATCCTTATGTAAAGAGCTTTCCATGTCCTCTTACTCTCACAACTCCTGTCACTAGATGTACTATCCCAGTTGTAAAATGGATTTGCTGACACCTCTGTTTTGTAGGATGGATTTATATACTCCTCAAAATACAAGGAAAGCCTCCAATAATAATAGTTGGAAAACCACAGAAAGCATCTTCTCTGTCAATACCTCCTCTGCTGGGCCTTCCTGCTAAGCACATTTTTCCCCTGAAAGCGCAATAGTTGGCAGACTTGTTGACTTCCCTGGAGACTCCCAGCAAAATCAGAGTAGATACTTCTTGTTTAATATGTCCTCTTCTCTCCTGAATAAACGGAACATGGTTATCAAGGAATAGAAAGTTGTTGTATACACCTGAAGAGCTCCATCAGTGCTGTTTATACTTGGCTCAGAGTTGACGTCTCTGAGGAGAAGAAATAAAAAGAATGATATTGTTTTCACTGGGTGAGCTGACTAATTTCCCCGAGGCATGGTCCCCAGGCTGCATTGAGTGAGTGAAGGAGCTGAATGCCTTGTAATAGAGTAAATTTTGATTTTCTTTCTTYTCGTCTTTTAGGGTGAAGCAAACTGAACTGTTTGACAGGTGGAAGAGCCTACAGATGTGCAAATGGGAGATGAATGTCACAGAAGCTAACTTATTCAAGTAAGAATGGTTCACATTAATGAGACGGAGTAAGAATTACTTCAGTCTGACTTTAGCTTGTTATGGAGAGGGGAAACGCTCACATGGAATTGCCAGAGTAGGCAATATAACACTGCAAGTGAAGCAGAGCCTGTCCATTTGAATAAATATCAACTTCTCTTATTTCCAAAAAAGTCAACAGCAAGACTGATGAAGGAGAATTTTGGGGCCATATGGGACAGTCATCCCAGCAAAGAATTTGGCATGGGAAAGGCTTTCCTGAGTAYGATTCATGCACAAGTGAGGCTAGAGCCAAAAAGCTAATCTTTACACCTCCTGCATTTACCCATGAGCCTAACTCTGGTGGTGTAAAATAATGATATAATTGGTGACACTGAAAATTCAGTCTACAAAATTCTCAAATAGGATTTTTTTCTGTACTGTGTAAGTTTTTTGCATAGTGTGCTGACACTATGTACTCCTTGACTGTCTTTAAATGYTTCTTCTAGTTTTCAGACACCTTTGCAGTTTGTTTCTGTAATACTTTCAGATTTTTTTCTGAAAAATATCTAATGGGCCACTATCAGAGTCCATTTTGCAAGAGAAGAGCTGACCAGAATTAGAGTTTCCTATCTTGGGCAAGGCTTAAAGAGTGCTCAGAGTGAGAGGACTGGTTTTAATGACTGTGTACAAGGTGTTACGAGCGTGTTGAAGTAYAGAGGTCAGCCTAGGGGTGGGAATGATAAGAAATTATTATCTAAGACCACCTGGAGGCCTAGCAGTCTCTCTTAGGCCACCAASACTGACTACCAACACCTGCACTTTATGTGAAGTGCCCCACTCCATCCTGCTCAGTGTATTGGGAGAAAGAAGAGATGAAACACTCCTGTCAGTGGCTAAATTGATTGATGTCTCACTGCTTAAGGTGCTGCCAGTATCTAGATATAATCAGTCCTTCATTAGCTGGTTCTATGAAAAATAATCCCAGGAATCAAGAAAACAGGGAAGTTYGGGGGTGTTTCATTTTCTCTTATGGGACAGAAACATCAGTGAATTAATGTGTAAGGAAACTGCAGCCATAAAGAACCCATAAAAGCAGACAGAAGTCTCAAGTTTGGAGTTAACTCAAGTTAAGAGGTCAGTGCTAGGCCTCGTGTGAGATGGAGGGAAGCCAGGACAGGTAAAAGGCAGCTATGAGGAGCAGCGGGTGGGGAGGTTGGGTGAGCAGGTGAGTCTTTTCTAACCAAGGTGTATCATGTACCACTTTGGTAGGTGGGTAGTGCCTACAAACACAGTATCGCTGTGTTTAAGTCCCTGCCCCATCTGGCTTCTAGATCCCCAGGTTTCCTGCCCGGTCCCTATACAATGATTTATAGAAGGTGTAGAGCCTCTAAGGCAGAGAGGGTCTAATTCATTAGTGTGTTTTTTTCCCTGGGGTATGGAAGAAGCTCAGTTTTGTGGGCTGGAGCAGAGCAGAGTTTGCACATGCATCTCCTGCAGCCTAAAGCAATACCAGTACAGAGGTCTCATGTCTTCTAGCTTATCATTTTAACTCTTGTGTAATTAAAAAGAAGTTTTGACAATGAATGCCATGTCAGCTGCATTTCAGAGAGATTTTCCATTCTAATTGCAACTCTTAAAGCAGGTTATCAGCTCCTTTAGTCAATCTCTTTTTCATTTTACAGGTCGACTTTGTCAAGATGTTGCAATGCCCCCGCCTTTCTGTTCACTACCCAGAAAAATACTCCCYTGGGGACTAAACTGAAGTACGAAGTAGATACTAGTGGAATCTTCCATATCAACCAAGAAATCTTCAAAATGTTTCCGAAGGTGCTTTATACCTGTATCAATTTGCAGAATCGGTTTTATTCTACTTGCTGCTTTAGATAAAGCCCCATAGCCAAGCATCAGCAACTCACTGTTCCACATTCYTGCAAGCATCATTGCTTGTATTGCATTGTATGTTTATCTCCCATATGATATTCCAGTTGATTATCCTACTTTCCAACAGTCATCTGCTCTAATACGATCCAGTATCTGTTTCTCTGGAGAATATTATTGACCAAACAGCAAAGTGGACAATGAAATAATTTAAGAAATATGGATTAAATAGCATTTACTGGCCAGCAGTTACTGACTTGAAAAGGTTTCGCCTACATACGTTAAATTCAACATCTAGGGTAGGTCTCTCTCTTTTGGCATGATCACTTTATAATCCATATTCACARTCACTGACTGTTTTTATCTTTATTTCTGTTTGCAGTTTCTCTGTGAACTGCCTGCAGAAATTTAAATGTATTTATCATAAAGGTTACATTTTTAGAAATAATCCCTGACCTGATGGCCGCTAAAGGTGTAAATGTTACAGGCATTGGGCAATTCCTATTACCCRCTGTCAGTTATGTGCAGAAACAGGGTTATATGGCTACTGATTTATCATGAGGAACACTCTCTAAGTTTAAAAGGGCATATTTGGGAGGATAAGTGAAAACCATCCCTTTCTGAAAGTGAGCAAAATATCAAAGTTAGCTACAAAGATTTCTGTTACTAACACTGCCCTTCAGAGTCTTCCAGCTTTTAAGGTGTTTGTCTTGTGAGCACAGCTGCGAGGGAGGGCAGTGTTACCTAAATGTGCACATGGGCAGCTGGAGCAGGGTGAGGGAAAGGCTCAGATCCAGAAAAGTACTTTGGAAAAGAGACTTAGATGACTACATCTAAGTCCCTTTGTACCAAGGAATTCTGTAGTAAGGAACTGCTGGATAAAGCACAGTCAAGTTTAGAATGCCTCTGTGCCAGAGAGCTGCTGCTTTTCTGAAATAACTCTAATTTCAGGCCCTCTTGCCTGAAGTCTTATCAGTGCTATGGCAGGATTCTGGGAAAAATCACCTAGAAATGTCATGCCACGATTGCATCTCCCTGCAATATGAAATTATTCATAAAATATGTATGTACCAAAAGGAGTGCTCTCGTGCTTATATAAGCACAGCTCTACATATTCATAAGATGCAGCTCGGCTCAGTTTTGCATCATAGCYCTCTCACTCTCATGGCCCAGTTCATTCTCAGGGATGTGATTTTAGCTCTCTGGCTTCATCAGCAGCTGCACACGTGTGTTTGAGGGCAGGATTTTGCCCTGCAGATCAGAGAAGGATTCATCCTCTCAGCCTGAAAAGGTGCTTGACCAAAGGCTCTAGGCACTGCTGTAAGTGATAATTAATAATTATTAACAGCATTAGCACAATCTGTGAGGAATGTGTTGGAAGCACTAGAATTTGCAGTAAGTTCTGATAAAAATCCATAATACTCCGTATGGCTTAGAGAGACCTCTTGGGTTCTGCAYGCTGCTTGGGGACAGGGTGCAGGCTGCTCAGAAGCAGGACATCAGCCTGAGAAGTGAGCAGCTTGTGGGCAGCTCAGCAAGCTACACCTGGGGTACACTGATTTTATGGTTTATGCCCCCATGTGGAAGTCTGAAGGGAAAGCAGGCCTCTAAAACTGCTTCTTCTTCTAATAAATCTAGAGAGAAACAGGTCATTGSTTTTTCCTTCCGAATTAGTTGCCCATAGCATCTCTAATTGCAAAGAAAATGAGCCCGTCAGTTCATGTACACCGTGGGAGTACTGCATGCCAGAACGAGTGTCAGCTTCCTATATTGCAATATATCTCCTATTTCCTGAWAATATTTCTTATATTTTCTAATAGTACTTCCTATTGCAAATGCAGACTTTTTCTCCAAAATGCRATTGCACACAAAAAAATAAAAATAAAGGGAAAGGGAGGGGGAAAACAACTACTTGTTGCCTCTGTGTTTCAGGAGACTGTCTGTTTCCTTGCAGGATATGCCCTACCATCGCTCCCAGTTCAAGAAATGTGCAGTGGTTGGGAATGGAGGAATTCTGAAGAACAGCAGATGTGGCCGGGAGATTGACAGTGCAGACTTCGTGTTTCGGTAATTCCTGTAGCACCATTTCTTTCGGCTGTTTTAATCGTGAATAAAGATTTGCRAAGCTGTTCTTTTGCACATGGAAATAAGGGATTTGACCAAATCAATAGTCTGCTTCTTGTGCAAAATGCARCGTTTCAAAAAAAAAAGCACCCCAGTGTGGAATGGTTTTAAAAATGATGCTTGGGAGGCTAATATATCCCTGGCTCCACTTCGTTAATCACTGACTGACTTTGCAAAGTTTAATGTCCTTATTCGGCCTTTCCTGTTATTCGGGTTGTGGCTTTATCATTCCATGGACATTAGCCCAGTAACAGGACATTATCCCAGTAACAGAACCATGTGAACATGGCTGTATTTTCCCAGAGATTTTTTCTCCTATAATGTGTGGCACAAGCTTGGCCAGAGCTTAATAACTCAGTTCTGGTGCAACACCTGTGCCTTGGACCCGTGTTTCTGAAACCATGCTGTCACTTTGACTGCATAGCACAAGTCACAGATTATTTACTAAATCAGGTTCAGCACCATCTGGCYGCAGAAACCCAAGATCAGGAGCAACATGGATCAAAAAAAAAGCCAGAAGCTTGAAGAGGGTGTCTCTGTGAAACACCTCCTATGTCCAGTAAGGCTGATTAACTCAGATAAGGAAGAATATGACTGCAAAGAGCCAGCTCAGTACTGCCACTCAGTCCTGTAGACTCCAGGTATTGAGAAATACCCAAGTGCTTTTGGAGGCTGGGTGTCTTTCTGCAGCTCTTCCCACCATATCTGGTATCCTCCAGGTTTTGTATCGTCCAGGATGTCCAGTTTGTGTTGCCAGATTATGGAGTTTTATCATCCTTAATATGTAAAGGAAAGATGTTATTATTTAATTGTCTGGCTAATTCTTCTCTGAAACTTGTTAAGCTCTTTGCCTGGGTCAAGGTATATGCAAGATAACTCACAGGTTCACGATGTTTTTTGTAACAAATGAAAAATGTTTTATCTCAGTCTGTTTTCTGACCTTAGGTACCTTGCTCTAAATCTAGAGTAACTCTACATAGATCAATGAATTTCTCTGATTTCATACTAGAAAAAAATAGGTCAGATTTTGGCTCATCGCCTTAGTAATTTAATTTGGCATCAAATGAGAAATATTGTATAGGTCCTACCTTTGCTATTAATATTTTCAGAGCCCTTGTGTTTGCCTCTAGGGCCGTCTTTATATAAAGCTAGTGTCCTAATTTTAATCTGTAGCACAGTCCAGACTTGACATAATATACTTCAATTTAAAAGACTAGTACAACTACATGCATCAAATACAGTAGATTCACTTCTTCTATGCAGAATCATAAATATTAGAGTGTTGAAATGAAAGGTTCATTCTGATACACCCGGGTGTGACAAACTCTTGGGCAGCACTGTCTTAGTTGCCAACAAAATGACTCTTTAAAATACTTTAAAATACTTGTCTGTGGAGCACAGCTAAATTCATGGACACTTTCAGGGTGCTTGTGTCAGCCATTTGATACTGACATGAAGCCTGTGGTTAGTAGGATGGAACCAAGATTTTTTCTGTTAACTCAGTTTGGGAGAGCAATTAATTATATTGCAATAGAATATATAAAATGCATATGCATAAATATAATCTACTAGTTGTTATTGTCTATCTCCATCTACTGGCCAGAGCGGAAATTTTTGATGAAAYATTGGGAGGCAAAACTACTCTCATCGATGTAAAAATCATGGGTTTTTTTTTTGTTTGTTTGTTTGTTTTTAATTCTAAGCAAAAATACAGTTTATGCAGACTATATAATGTTTATAGTAAATTGTCACTTCTTAATCTTGTCATGAGATTTTAGCCACTGCTGGTGCTGAATATTTGAAAACCTTTTTGAATGTAATCTTATGAATCCAATGCTTGGTGCTAGGTGTAACTGAGGACCTTGAAAGGCCATTGAACGAACTAGCAGCAAAAAGTGCTGGAAATAACTTTGTCCTTGAGAAGGACAAATTAAAGAAAATTCTCTGATCTTATAAAAGGAGACTCTTTGGGAGCTCCTGGTGATGTGATGTGAATCTCCTGAGTCCGAGAAGGTGTTAAAGGACTTTTATGCCTTCATCTGCTCCCCCCTCTCCTCCTCTTCTTGATAGAGAAATTTTATTTTAAGGGCTGGGAGCCAACCTTTAATGTTTTGAAAGCACTGAGCATCACTTAAGTGTCTTTATGGTTCTKGAGAGTTGTAGATGAAAAGTTTTGAGGTGTTAGGGAATTAGGCCGGGTAGTATTGTCGAGATGTGCAATTCAGGTGTCTAAGCAGCGATGGCTTTTAGGAGCACTTTGAAAGATTTTGGAAGTTTCAGTTGAAATCTAACACTAGCTATTCCTTGTTCTTCTGCTGATGGTRCATGCTGAAGATTTGGGGTTTTTAATCCATGTTTCCCCTGGATGTGGAGCTCAGGTGATAGATTTGTGTGTGTTTTAGTGTGTTTTGATAACTCCGGCATCACTTCAGGGATCCACTAAACAYAGAATGATGCAACGGGGCCAGTGGGTGAGGAGAGGCTGGGCAGGCTCAGGTTGACTGTCCTTGGGGTTTCTTCCCAACTTTTCCAGTACTAAATTGCCCAATTAAATAGTTGAATTGCTCTTAGGGAAGCCAAATGAGTGAATATTAGCTATATCTGCAAAAGGGGTCGGCTTTGCCTGACTCAGGGAAGAACAGTGGTCTTCTTACAGTCCCTAAGACTGTATTATTTTAATACTCCAGTTCGGACATCAATGTGTTTTGCTACAATTACAAATGTGCAAAATGTTTCTAGCTTGGAAAAAAATGCTTAAATCAAATCTACAGTCTTGAAAAGGTGCAAGGAATTGTTTAACTTTCTTAATTCTTTTCTTTCTAGGTGCAATTTGCCTCCTATATCTGAGAAATACATTACAGACGTGGGAGTGAAGACAGATGTTGTGACTGTTAATCCCAGCATTATTACTGAAAGGTCATTTCTGTTTCTTGTGTTTTCATCTCCTATCACTTTTCCAAATCTACCTTTCACTAAATTCTAACTCTTACAGAGAAGTTTTTTTTTTTTTCAATACTAGTCAAAACTTAACACTGTTAATCATACGTTGTTTTTTTGCTGAATTGAAATTATTCAGTATAAGAAATAAATAACAACATATAGAAATGCCTTAAACACTTAGACCTGTATGGTCTGGTAATGGAAGGTGGGAAGCTGATGAGCTAAAGTCCCATCAGCAGAGCTGTCCTTCCCCTCCAAGTCCTATGTAAGCCTACAACCCCATGCCAACCACTCATGCAGCAGTGTGAAARGAAACTGGATGCCATCCTAAATGCTTGAATACAATGCATGGTTATATGTTTTTTAAAAACGTCCGTTCACTTTTGTAGCTAGGATTGACAGAATGATTTTCATTTGAAAATATTTAATGCCTGCACACCGTGGAGTTTTGGGGGTGTTCGCAAGACTTGGAGGCTCCAGGCTGTTGCAGGTTTGTTTTTTAATTGTACAGTTGGACGTGTCACAGAAGGTTTTGCTCAGGTTTGTTGTTGGCTACTTTTTTATACAGTTCTGCACTGCAAAGTGCACAATAAAGCTGGTCATCCTTGGAAAAATTGCATTCTTTTGATAATTAAATGAGAGATGAAATAGGGCCAGAAATGTCTGCAAGGTTTGTCCAGTGCTCCATGAACTACAAAAAGGAGGGGAGAAGATATTTTTCTCCTCTTTCATTTTTTTCCTACATTTCATGCTGATGCTTTCTTTTAGATACTTCTCAATCTAAGTATATTCCTATTCTTAACTGAAACATAATTTCAATTACCTCTGCACCAGAAGTGTTTCGGTACAAACCCAATTCAAGTTTCTTGTCTGCTGAGTCAAAAGTGAAGTTATTGCTGGTCTGACCCTCACTTCCATCCCTTTCCTTTAGATTCCATAAGCTGGAGAAGTGGAGGAAACCCTTCTATGACGTGCTCCAGGTCTACGAAAAYGCTTCCGTGTTGCTGCCGGCTTTCTACAACACCCGCAACACGGATGTCTCCATCCGGGTCAAATACGTCCTGGATGATTTTGAATCTCAGCAAGCTGTTTACTACTTTCAYCCCCAGTATCTCATCAACGTCTCGCGCTACTGGCTTGGTCTAGGGGTGCGGGCCAAGCGGATAAGCACCGGACTGATTCTGGTGACTGCAGCTCTGGAGCTCTGTGAAGAGGTCCACCTCTTCGGCTTCTGGGCCTTCCCTATGAACCCCTCAGGGATTTTTATAACTCACCACTACTATGACAATGTCAAACCTCGCCCCGGTTTTCATGCGATGCCCTCAGAAATCTTCAACTTCCTCCACATGCACAGCAAGGGGATCCTGCGGGTTCATACGGGGACCTGTAGTTGCTGTTGACGAGGACAGCTCTTCCTCTTGACACAAAAGGGAACTCAATGCCTGTGTACGGTGTAGGAGGTTTTATTACACCCTGAAATTATGCAATAATCATTTGATATAAGTTTCCTGAAGGCATTGCATCCCGTAGGATCTAGGATACCAGCATCTTCCCTGCTGGCAGAGCAGGGTCCGTAACAGTGTGGGTAAAGCCTAACTCCTCTGTCCCAGGATATGCACTGCTCTGGAAAGCAGGTCAGATAAGAAGCACATTTCCAATAGGTTTAGTGTGATACAGAGCACATTAATATAGCTATCCACTCACTTGGGAGAAAAGCACCACATTTTGGGGAAGGATCAGTGGTGGAGATGGTTAGCAYAGACTGACTTTACATAGGTTTCTGATTGAATACCTTGAGCATTGCTAGATTTTATTGGCAGTACTGTTCTCTGGCTTTTGGTTTTATCAAAAATATTCTTTAGCATTACAGTTCTAATGGCAAGTGTATAACTTGAGGTCTTTATTCCATAATTTCACAAAAGCATTGGTGAAAATTTGCACTTAGATGTGATAGGGGTAAATAGATCACAGTGAAATTTTTAAGCAAAGGTAGGAAAGAATTTTATACTCTCATCCCAGCAAAAGGCAACTGTGTTGATCATGGGGTGTAGTTGTTTTACTGCTGCTTCTTTTTGATTCCTTCCAGTGTCTCATAGCTCTGGTCTCCTTTGCTGACGCTGTTTTCTTTCTTATAGTCTGTCGTACTTTCCTTCTAGCTAGCACACAAGAAAYGTGTGTACTTTCTCCTATAGTGATGGTCTTAGCTTCAGATGGGAGTCCCTGCTGAAGAATTGTGCTCCTTCTGCTTCTGCAAGCTTTGCTCAGGCTGAATAGCAGAGAGACTACTCTAGTTATATTTCCTGGGTCGATKTTTTTATTTAAATGTCACAGCATAGCATAGTAAAGGCTTCTCCTCTTTGTTTTTTATAGAAGATTTTGTAAGAGTATTTGAATGTCAGTCGACTATTGTGCAGGTCGAATGAAATATTTTTGGGCATCCATGATAAACACTTGCAGGAAATGAAGTTAGAAGCGAGTGAATATATTTTGTGGTTTGGATTGTGATGCATGTTTTAAAATCATGCATCTCAAGACCTCAGACGTCCTAATGTGGCTTTTGTTTGTGTTGAGAATGTTTTTATGGCAGGGCAATAAAAGGGCTGGTATATTCTTTAGAAAGCAACCAGCATGACTCCATGAGTTATGCCAGGCTTCGTTTTTTCACCTAATATAATTAAAACTGGCAAAATCCTGATGGAGAAAAGATAACATATATTGCTGTGGTTTATTTTGGCTGCTGAACCACAGGGTGGTGGTCTGCTGGTCTGTGYCCTTCCATACTGGTATGACTGCATGCACGAGGGTGAGGTTTGCTYGTTGAGCTGTGCTAACATACCAAAATTAATGGAGTTTTTTGGTATAAATTCATAGATTAAAGCACTTGTTGTTCAGTACTCTACCTTGACTTTCTTAGATTGTAAGGTCTTTGGTCAAGGAGCTAGAGTATCAAGTGCTGGTCCTGTATGAAAGATACTTTTCTGTCTCCGGAGAGGGCTTAAATCAGGGCTTGGGTTTTCATTTTATAAGGCGTGAAAGCACCAGATTTCTGTACAAGTCCCTGTGCTTTGCTGACAGCTGTGAAAGTTGCTCACCCTTACAGGTAGGTGATGAGAAAGGAAGCGAAACGTGATGGTCACCATTTCAAAGCCCCTACTGAGCAGAGGTGGCCAGGATGGCACGAGAGTGGGTATTTCTCTAGCTTTGCACTAGACTCCAGATGAATTTGACTCCAAATTAATTTATCCATGTCCTTCATAAAAAAGTGTCAGAGCTTCCTTGGGAAATACCAGCCAGAGGTGAGGCAGGGACCTGTGCTGAAGCTTTTCCTGTTTGTGTCGTCGTGGTTTTTGTCTTGGAGTTGTCCCGTGCGTTAGTAACGAAAGCGCCGCATTGCCCAGCTGTGAGACACGCAGCACCCCAAGAGTGAACACGTGGATGAAATGTTTTCCTTGATTTAATATGCAAAAGAGGTCTCTGTCTTCACCGTGTTTCGTAAGTTAATGTGCAAAGGGCTTTGATAATGAAGTGCTGTAACAGAAGTGCTATATAGAGAGCAACGTGACCCGTTGGGGTTGGCCGTTTTGCTGTGCATTAAGCTTTATAATAATGAGAAGGATGCTGAAGTTCCAACCTGGAGCCCTTGCTTGTTTTTCTGCCCGAGTGAGGGTCTCGGGGTGACTTCAGCCCTGCTTTGTTGCTGCTGCTTTGCTAAGGATACTTTCTTTGGTAAGGTTTTTTCTTCACTTTGTTGATTGGGGTGAGCAAAAGGAATGGAAAGGAGTCTGATATGTTGCAAGAGATACTTAAAAAAGATGGGAAAGCACATGAAAAATCATCCACATAGTGGAAAGAAATGGTGCAGATCCCTCTTATAATTGCAAAAGTCGTTTTGGACTTTCGGGGCAGGAAAAAGGATAAGCAAAATTGTAACAGAGTCACAGACATTTCCTTTCCTTTGTTTGCTTCATGCAAATGAATAATGTAACTTCTAGGCTATTCTGTAATAAGTGCAGTTTTACTTTAGATTTTGATTGATTCTAAGCCTATAGCTACTATATTTTTCTAATGATTTAAAAATGTGTGTGCAGGATACTCACACATACACACCAAAGGCTGAATCCTGCAYCATTTATTGGGAAAGAACTCCCATTCATGGAGATTTATTTGTGTAGGGACTGCAGAAACAGGTCCAGACATGTCTGTGAAGATGTACATAGGTGTATAGCTAGATATAGGGAGCCGAGAGATCTTCAAAGAAATATATATAAAATAGTCCTTTAAAAGGCACGCATATTGCAGTGTGTTTTCTTTCTTGTTCTTGACAGTGTTCAAAAAATGATAGAAGAAAAGCTACGGCATTTTTGTTAGAAATGCCATAAGTTTAAGCATATATACATATATATATATATATATATATATATATATATATATGGCCTCTTTACGTTGCAGTGGGCTCTGTAAAATCAAATTCCTGCTGCCACGTGGTGTCTTGTGTGAAGCACCATGGAAGTGGCTCCGTTGGAGCTCGCAGGAGCCAGGCCCAAGGATAGACCCCCGAGCCGCTCTGTTCCCTAGGGCCACCAGGCAAAGAGCACCAGGGAGGTTTCAGTGTTTGCTCAGCATGTGGTTCCCCACAGGAGAGCCTGTGGATCCCAGAGAAACCCCCCGATGCAAAAACCCATCCAAGAATTAAGGCTGTCAACTCTGGTCTCGCTTCCTGGGCTCAGACTAATCCTGGCTCTGCTGCTGAGAATACGAAATCTGAGTCAGGCAGAGAGAAAATGATAATATAATGGGTTAATCACTCACTCGTGGTATTATTATGGGGTAATCACTCACTCCTGGCATTAGTGAGGAGCCTGTCTTAAGAAATTCCTGAGATGTGCATATGCTGGCAATGCAAATTGAGAGGGACACAGCCAGGACGGCTGCTCCGTTACTGCCGGGTCAACAGAGGAGGCTTATGGATCTGCCAGTGCTCTGATCAAAGGGAAAGAAGTATTTAGCTGAAATCATAACGGCGTCTTGCTTTTGATCCGTGGAATCCAACTCCGCTGTTGGCTAAAATGAATTAACAGCAAGAGGTGCATTTTGGTCTTTTAGGGTGCTGTGGGTGATTGCTCACGAGCTTGGAAGGTCAGCTCGGGAACTGCAAAGCAGGGGCCATGCTGTGGCTGCCCCTCACGTTGGGATGCCTGGGAGGAGACGTGCAGTGGACTGCCAGCCCCTGGGAAAGGTCCTGTAGGGAGAACTGGAGGAGCTTGGAGCCACGACATTGCTCCCCAGGCTTCAGTGGCCTGGCAGGAGGTAGGTGTCCTGCTGGATTGCACACAGCAGGAGGGAGCAGTCTCYGGAAAGGAAAACGGAGGCGGATGCAGTGTTGGACATGGAGCGGGAGAGGATTTCTCCTTTGCATCCTCTGCGGCCCGGGGGCTTGWCACCAAGGCTCTGATTTTACAGGGCACAAGCTCAGGTAATGATMATGGAGAGCTCTGAAATGATCCCGCTGCCCTGACTGGTTTGCAGCTGAGCTGAAGAAACCCCTGGAGCTTTTGCATGTGTTTTAGGAAGGAAACATGGCAAAATTCAGCAGTCCTTAATGACAGAACTCCCTGGAAAATTCTGGAGAGAGCTGATGCCCTGGGAATGAAAGTCCGGTGCTCACCTGGAGTCAGTACTTAGGCTTAACATTTTTTCCAAAAATCCAGTGAAATCCCTTAAAGCTCGGTACACTTCAGAGGAAGCCTCCACAACTGGGCCCTCATCTTGGGCAGAAAGAGCAGCCTCTTGGTTTTTATTTACTTGTTTCCAAATATATTTTTAATATACTGTAGATACGGCGCAGTAGCAATACTGTGTTTTTAATGGTGTGTGTAACCAACGAACTTCTCTGGAAGCAGAAACCTTGTGGCCGTCTCGCTCCCTTCCAGATTTCTGCACTTTCATCTTTTCAGAAACCATCTATGCAAAGCGTTTTGTTGTGGCAGTGCTAATTGCTGTTACGAATCACGGGCACTATGAACCCCCTGTAGCTACCTGTGTATCTGTGTGAATCACGTGCCGCGAGAGAAGAGGTGTTTTCCTGCTTGCTTTAGAATAGCCATGTGGAATTCATCAGTGACGTGAATRTTTTCCAGACAGGATTCAGCCCCATTCCCTTGGAAGCCAGCAAAACTTTTGCAGTTGGCTTCAATAGGAAAAATTTTGGACCCTGTGCTTGTACCCATTGTACTTGTACCATTGGTGCWTGCACCAATAACCCATATTTCTGAAAAGACCCTCCCAAACTACTACCATTTTATGTCTTGTTAAACGTGGGTGAGGCTGCTGGGCATCGCTGCGTTGTCTGTATGGTATTCAAAATGGACAAGCAATTGTACTTAAGTGCTTTTTTAAGTAACCTTAAGGGAAATCGACGCATTTGGGAYGTGCTAGAGTGAAGGAGCCGGCCCCTCGAATGCTTCCTGCAGCCCCAAGGGCTTGAGGAAAGCCAGAAATGAAGGATGAGGCCTTAGTGGGGAGCTTAAAAAGAGACAGAACTGCCTCAGTTGTGCGAGGGTTGGAAGTTGTAAATAGTGCTCATGACRCAGCAGGCTTTCCCTATAGAAGCCATAAACGTTCTTGGTGTTTGTTCCTTGGAGAAGTTGTGTATTTTCAGCTGTACCAATCACTGYAAAGTGTGTTAGCGTGTAGAATGGTAACAAACCCAGCAAAATCAGATACCGTGTTAGCTAGATCTTGAAATGTCTGTTCTAGCTGAAACTGTGCTTTGAGATGGACCAAGACACTGAAGAGTCTCAGTTGCTCCATCCAACTTATGAAGGCTATGATTATAACTCGTTTTAGTGGTTAGGAGCAAACAGAATTAAATTGATCCCTATTTGTTCTGCCACTTGGTGTTGCCAAAGTGATACCCTTTTATTCACGTGTGACACTAGAGCCTGTCTCTACATGTGACACTAGAGCCTGTCTCTATAGACAAGGACAAATGCTCCTACCTGCTCTATCTGGGACAGCACGTGGTGATTTTTGCTTCATTTCTAGCTCCTCCTTATTTTAAACCATGAGGTCTCATCCACGTTCAGCCCCTGTAACTTGTACTATGTTCAGCAGATATTTTCTGATGAGTATCTCCCGCATTTTCACTGGAAAGAAAACAGATTTCCAGCTTGCAAACACTGGAGCAAAGCTACGGGTCTTTGTGCTAATGGAGCCTGAGGTATTGCAAAAATAAAGTTTGTTTCATTTTTGGTATTTCTATATGGTAGTTATGGTCATGGTGGAGAAATCCAAGCAGAGTCACTGTAGTTTCATGCTGCTGTTAATGACATCATGTCCATTAGTTCACCTTTCTTTTCACTTATCTCTTTCTCCACTCTGTAATTTCTGCTTAGTGTTTCTGTAGCTATATTATGGTTGTAATAGAAAGCCTAACAATTGATGTAAGCCATAACTAAAACAGTAATCAGGGTATTTCCTTTCCTTTGTCCGTGCCAGTGTGTCTGAAAGATGATTTAATTCTATTGAATAAACCACTCAAACAGGTCTCTTTGAAAGGCAAGCTCTCAGCCGCGTTTTGTGCCTCCAAACTTAGTTGTGTGTCTCCTGCTCTTCGGGGTCTCTGCACAGAGAGTTTGAAGCTCTCCTTTCTGGTGGAAATGGGGCCGCGTATCCAGAGACTGCCGCYGTGGAGCTCTGTCATCTGTTGAGAATTCAGTATTTTGATCGCTGGGTCTTGAATGTCAGATCCTGGGTTGCAGTCTACAGGACATACCGACAAAACAAGGTGATTTACTGTGTGCCCTGGCAATCTGTGCCAGACACCCTTCGCAATCCACGTTTTTTGCCTGACTCCGCATTCCTAACAGCTCTGTCCTTGGCTGTCCAGACCCGTTGCGTGAAGTAACAACTAACATCATTGCTGTGTGCAAAAGGACCATTTTCCTCACCTCCCTCTTGCTCCATTTCGTTTTCCCACATGGGATTCACTCCTGGCAGTTGTCCTTGTGGGAAGGAGGGGTTTTTAGGCTGTTGCAGCTGCTGCTAAGGCAGTTGTGTGAAGAAGTGGGGCGTTTTGCACTATGCTTTGAAATTGGCACGAGCTGGAAATGTGCCCACCCTGGACTATATCTCTTATATTGCCATCCTGGAAAGCTTGATCTCATCCTGCTCCTGGTCCACTTAGCTTCAAACTTTTACCTGAGGGCTCCTACCTTAGAGCTCACAAAGGCTTTCAACCCTGCAGAATAAACTCAGTGCCACTCTTTGCATGGGCCCTGCAAACCTCACTGGTATCGACCCAGATATCGACTAATTTGAGCTAGATCGCTTAGGTTCAATCACTTCTGCAAATCTGCAATTCAGCTGTCTGCATTAAAGGGCCTCAAAGCCATGGAATGCATGAATTAAAATAACACTGAGCAGCCTGCAGGATCCCCTTGACGTGCCTGACAGGTATCGCTGCCTTTCAGCACGTCGTTGCAGTGACTTGAGCACAGACAGAGCTGCGTGGCAAACACGAACCACTTTTAATACAATGATAAGCAAATAGCTGGTTAATGCGCAGGCTGGTTTGCAAGTTGAGTGCCTTAGAGAGAGGAATAATGCAGAGTAAATCCATCTTGCTTGATTCTGATTTAGTTTATCTCAGCACCGCGTTAGAAGCTTACACTTCCATCAATATTCTCAGCGTCAGGGGAGCTAAGRCATAAAAGCATTTGTGGGAATACAGAATAGTAAGTGGAACAAGCATATATATATATTTGAAATTGGATATTTTCCTGTGCATCTCTATTGTTCCAGATTACAAATCAAAACAGATAGAGGTGATAGAAATAATATGTTCTTGCTGTTAACAGGCTGCGCTGCTGTAAGGAACATGTAAATGGCTTTGAGGATGCAGCACTGCGGTGAATACCGGAGGAGGCAGCTCTCATTCCTGCTGACATCAAAACTGATGGATGTGCTTCCTTCCTACAGCTGCTTGTGATTATGGTTGGTGATTATTCAATCAAGAAGAGGAAACGTGGAGAGGGAGAAATGAATAGGCAAATTTACACTGTATGATATAATTGCTGTCTATCACGTTGCAAATTGCTCAGCTGAGCAAGCAGTCGCAAAATGGTTCATTTCCTTAGGTTTGCAGCATCCGTCATTTTCCGTAGCGGCATTTGCAGCCCTTGCTTTGAAGAAGTATAAATAAG